AGAGAGGAGGTTAGCGGACAAGCCTTCAACAAGCAGGACATTCCCAAGCCCCACAAGTCCCCCATTGGCTCCCATCACCTTGGTGTTCCCCACACCAATCACAGGGAGCAAAGCACCTGAAGCGGCAGCCACAAACTTGATCTTCCCGGGGGGTTTTACCTCGTCAAGCAAAACTGCCCGCGGAGTCATGTGACTCGTGCAACCTGAATCGATCACCCAGTGAGTGAGGGGGTGCATCACAACCTTCCCAACTGAACCCACATCATCCTCACTCCCTTTCACTTCCTCAACCATGAGGAACAACCCAGGGTCAGCTTTACCTTGTGCACCATCACCTTGTGCACCTGAACCTTGCACAGCACCACCTCGTGCACGTTCACCACTTGGCGGCTTCATGCCTGGGGGTGCCCATCCCTCAGGCCGGCTGAAACACTTGAACCACGGGTGTCCAGCCTTCTTGCAGTACCAGCATGCACCCTCCATTCGGGTGCTCCCCCTGCCGCCAGAGCTCCCATGCCCCTCGTTGTAGTCACCTCGGCCTCTCCCTCTGCCAAAGCCTCTCCCACGGCCTCGGCCTCTCCCTCCCCCTCTTCCTCTGCTGCCTCCTGCAGCTCCATACCCCTCAGCAGTCTTGTTGGCAGCACCACCTCCCGTGTGGCGCCTGCGGAAGTCCTCCTGCAGGATCTGCTGCCGTAGCCACTTAGGCTTCCACTTGTCCTGCTGAACGTTGAGGGTGGGGATGAGGTTGTCCCACGAGTTGTCGAGCACGGAAATGATCTTGGTGCACTGCTGCATCTCCGACACCTTGCTGCCCGCCGCTGCCATCCTCGCATAAGTGTCCTTGATCTTGTCAAGGACCGGCTTCACATCATCTCCCGGTCGCATGGAGAGGGCAGCCAGCTCCTTCTCCAACACAATCACCATCGGCAGCGTGTTGGGTTGTACCACGTCGCGTAGCAGCTTCCACGCCTTCGGTCCGGAGTCGTCCAGCTCCACCAAATCCTTGATAAGCCGGAACATGTCGTTGTTGACCGACTGTAGAATCAAGTCGTACAGCACCGCGCTCCGCTCAATCCATCGGTCGCGGGCATCACCTTCCTCAGGCAACTTCTCTTCTCCCATCGCAAGTTTCAGCAGCTTGTAGCGCTTGAAGGCGCTCCGCATCCGCCCGCTCCATTCCTCATAATTGGAGCCATCCAACGCCTCAATCTTGGATGGTGGCGGCTCACTCTTCTTCTCAGCTGCTTCTCCACTCCCTTGACTCATCTCCTCTGCTCCCAATCACAGGTTTCAGCTCCCCCCTTTGCTGGTCACAATGTAGATCCACACAATCTTCACAAGTGTCGGCGCCAACGAAATTTCGGCAGAGTTTCCCCTTAGCGGAAGTCACTCCCAACCTCCAGAACTCCACTTAGGCACGCCCACAGGCCATGGTGGGTCTAAGAGGGTCTTCACACTTCAGTAGACTCCCCACAAAGTCCTTAATCAGCTCTGATACCACTTGTTAGAGATTAAGGACGGAGTCTATGAAGAATAGGTGCCGAAATATCACAAAATCGTTGGTCTCAATTTCTGGACAGAAACCGCGACTTCACAAGAAACGCCGTCGACGAAAAGTGCACCGTTAAAACTCCACCAATTTCGGATATAATGTAGCCCTAATCCGTGGCTACAATTCCCAAGTTGAATCGTACGAAACGATGAAGTATATCTTGAGTTATGTATTTCGGCGCACTAGGGGGTATGCTGCCATGGAAACTTCAACTCAATCACAATTAACTCAAGAGTCACAAGTTCCACAAGTTACACACAAGAGGGTTAGAGTAGCACTAAACCAGGTGGGAGGGAAGAGGAGGACGAGAGGGAAGGTCCCAAGGGAGTCCCCAACCAAGGAAACCCCATGCCACACAATTTCCCTCTCAACATGCAACCCAACTTTCACCCTTGTCATTTTCCCAACCTCCACAATCCACCTCAACCCAACTTGGCCACACTTGCCAACCTAGTTTGGCTTCTCCCAACCACATGGCAGCATCTACAGTGATGGGTTCGAATTTCCCAACCCCCAAAAGTCTATACCCCATATTGAGTCACTCCCACAACTTCCCAAAGTCGCCGCAACCAAAGTACAGAAAGCATACGAACTCCAACGTTCGTAACTTTCTTGATCTTGCTCCGATCGCGACGATTCTTGGTTTGTCGGAAAGCTCTCAAGCAGAGCATTCATTTCAGATAACTGCTCAAGCCAAATAACATTCACACACACTCAGAAAATCCAAACCGCACAAGCATATGATGGGAGGCAGACAGACGTGAATGCGAATGATAGCATCACAACACATACATCGAGTCTATATAGGGATTACAAAGGATTACGAAACGACCCAGGCTAGCCATGCACTCTAAGGGGTACATTCCCTTATTGCAGCGAGGTTCAAACCGTGCGGTGCGGGAACCAGTTTCAAACCTGTTCCCGCTCTTTTCATTTCAAATGTTTGAGCCTGCATCGGTCTTGGTCTAACGGTTGCTGGTGTCGCTTCGACTCTTCTGACGCCTCGACTTCGTGATCGCTAGAGTTGGCTCCTGCAGCATACAGGAATGCCTTCTCATAAAGCTTCATATCGTAACAAGTTGAAATACAAAGCTTGTGCGGGAACGTCTATTATCAGTATCTCCTGCATGGTCCGCATCCACATATTTGCATTGCTGAAGAGTAGTCGTTAAGTTAGTTGTGTATATGAGCCCGTCGTCAGGAGTAGATATGAAGGAGTGAAGTGATCGACGTAGGTCTGGATATTTTTCCCTTAAAGTCGGCACAAGTACTATGCAAGTTGGCTTGCGGCGTAGGAGAGATCTCGTTAGCACGTAACGACGGCGGACAGGAGGCATCCGAGCTGCTGTTAGTAAAGGCGAGGCAGCGGTCGTCGGTAGAGAACAATGTGGTGTCATGTTCGTGATTAGGAGGAGGTGTGCGGAAAGGATTGTTGAGGTTGATCAGCGACTACAAAATTCTTTGCGAGTGTTTTGGCGTACTTCACTGCGGAGAGGTGAATGGAGGTGGCAGATTGAATGGTGTTTAGTCTCACTATGACATTATGGTTGATGGTCACTTCGAGTTTCTTGATTTTTTCAGATCGGTCGAGGAGCTCCGTGTCGTTGCCAGTATAGAGCAGGTCATCCACGTATATGACTAGGCGAATGAACTTTCTGCGCAACTCCTTCTGGTACATCCCTTGGACATTTGGCAATGAACAAAACCGAGCTCGATGAGCACCGTGTGCGCGTACTGCTGCCATAGGCGTGGGGCTTGTTTGATGCCGTAGAGTGACTTTTGGAGGAGGCAGATGGCGTAGTTGTCCTCTTCGAAGGCGTGTGTCTGCTCAGCAAAGATAGCATCGACAATTGCGTTGAGGAAGGCGTTGGAGACGTTGGTTTGGTGGAGCGGACATTGCTTAATGGAAACGATGCAGATGAGATTTCACCGATGTATGTCGTCTGATTAGTGCGAGGGTTTGATCGTAATCCACCAAATGCAGTTGTTCGAAGCTGCGCACCACCCATATTGCTTTGTACATGTCGATCTACCCATTCGCGAGTGTTTTAGTCCTTACGACCCTTTTGCCACTTCCCCCCTTCGCTGATGAGCGAGGTAATAGCTTCCAAGTCCCGGGGCGCTTGAGTGTTGCTACATCAGCCCCCATGGGCGCTCTCCATTGTTGGAGTAGGCTAGAGCTCGCTCTGGTATTTATTATGGTGCTCTTTTGTTATTTCACCATGTTTAGAGCGAGTTACACTTTAGGTTCGGTTTATGTTCAATTCATAGTTTCTAGAACAAACTGATTACACCCTAAGTTCAATTAGGGTTTCCTACAATTGTATCTCGACACCTTGTCAGTGTAACTTTTCTCCCATCAAGCTTCTTCTAGGCACAAACGGATCTCCCAAGGCCTCTTTTAACATCCATATATAACTATCGGGACCTTGTGGGGCTCGGCGCATGGTGGTGGGTTCCTTGGGAGAGAGCTGGCGAACTGCGATGGGGAGCCCAAGGATGCGGAGGCCAGTTTCGTTGGTGGTTTTGTGGGCGAGGCAATCCAGGTCGTGCATGCAAGTAACTTTGACGACGTCGTCGTTGCTGTCGCTGCCGTCGTGGATGGTGTCTTGCGATATATTTGGTGGTGGTAACTCAACATCCGGCGATTGGCGCGCTGTGCTGTTGTAATTGTGGGCTTCACGAGTTGTATCATTGGGATCGAATTGTGAACCATTTACAAAGGTTGGGGTTGGGAGCGGGCTTGAAAGAAAGATGTTCTGACAATTTTCGTAGGCCGGAATGTCAGTTGCACCTTCTGCAACGTCGGCTTCGTCTTGTGCCGTGCCAAAGTTGTGGTGTCTTGTGAAAACTGCTTCCGACGCCTTGTCTACTTCGTGATGTTCTTTTAACAATGGCAGTCTCAGCTTCTCGTAGAAGATGCAGTCACGTGATTTCGTCACTTCTTGCGTGGTGTAGTCCAACACGATCAAAGCCTTGAACTCCTTTAAGATCCCGAGGTGAATGCCCCAGTGTTCCTGGTTAGAAAATCTTTCCGGTTCGTGCCGTGTGGGGCCTATAGTGTACCATGCAGCTGAACACTCTAAGCAAACGCGTGACAACTTTTTTGTCCCTCCAGGCCTTGTAAGGAGAGGTGTTTTTCTTGAGGCTCCGAGTTGACAACAAGTTGTGTCCGCACGTCAGCGGCAAAGTCATGGGCGGACTCTTGACGGAGATCGGTTTCGGGGATGCCGACGACGACATTCATGTCAGCAACTTGAATCGAGTTGTCAGTAACCGGCAGGAGTTGTTGGGGCGATGCCATCTCTGGCCACTCAGAGGCGGGGAGTCTTTCTATCGGAATCCGGTGGTACGTCACCGGTGACTGATATTAGCTATGGTTCTTCCTCTGGTGGTGATGGCTCCTCGGTAGATTCAGGTAGTTTTGTTGCTTCTCCGAAATCATATATCATCTCCTCTTCTTCTTCTTCTTCTTCTTCTTCTTCTTCTTCTTCTTCTTCTTCTTCTTCTTCTTCTTCTTCTTCTTCTTCTTCTTCTTCTTCTTCTTCTTCTTCTTCTTCTTCTTCTTCTTCTTCTTCTTCTTCTTCTTCTTCTTCTTCTTCTTCTTCTTCTTCTTCTTCTTCTTCTTCTTCTTCTAGTGTTGGCTCGTAGGGGCATCGATCCGGGAGAATAGGTCTGCCACAGCCGGAGCCGCGTGTTGCCCATCATGGGGTTGCTTCTGCAATGTGCTCAGGAGGAAGTGTTGGAGCTTTGGGGAGAGGTCTCCATGTTCCCCGACCACTTGGAGTTGCTAAGGTTCCCCACCTTCAGCGGGAACCCATGGTGCTGGTTTCTCTTGCACTCCCCAAGCGCCAACAATGGCATCGGTGCCTTATCCAGTCGGAACAGTAGTTCCTGACTTTCCCCATCCTTCGGTGTTGTTGTGTGTTGTAGATGCTTCTCTTTCTGATGCACCACTGTATGCTTCTTTCTTCTTCTAGTGTCGCTGGGAGCGGAGGTTGAGGCAGTCGGGACGGCGAGGATGCGACACAGGCCATCAGGTCCGGAATGCTCAAGATATCTTTCTTCGGGATGCGACCAAGTCGGCATTTCCGTGGGCATTGTCTTTAGCAGGAGAGTTCTGTCAGTGTTGCCATCGTCATTTTGTGGTTCAAAATTGAGAACGAAGACATCATCTTCATCCATTGCCGTGCCGATGTAAGTCCTTTTGTAGAAAAGCGCGAAGCATTTTTCTTCGCAGTTACTTCGAATCTCAACTCTGCATTTCATTAGTTGCGCTTCAGAGAGAAGGTTGAACTAAAGATTGGCGACAACTAGTACATCACCAATGTGAATTGTGAATTGGTGTCACTTGACTGCAGGCATATCCCTCCAATGTCGTAAGCTTCTAGTCGATTGTTGTTTGCGACGGATATTTCGCATGGACGTTGTGGTCGCTTCGAGTTGCTAATAAACGTTGTTGACCCTGCCATGTATTGCCCACAGTAGCTATGAGGATACCACTTTCTTAAGTTGTCGCGGCTTCAACGCGTAGCTGGCAATCTTGGAAGTGACGATGTGGTTGAGTTCAACGTAGAAGGAGGGCAGACTTAGGCGTGCTCGAGGGAGATTTTTAATCAGGTGGGACAGTCGTTGGCCTGTTGCTACAGAGTCCGATTGCAGGGTCATTGTTTGGGCTCGGCTCGATAGGTTCGATTGGTGCGATAGTGGGAATTGAACCCTGTCATAATAATGAGTGCCTCTACGATGCACCATGCAAATCAAGTTTGTGTAATTTTCTTTCTTTTTTGCAGAAATGTGTGCAGGCACTTGCGAAGTACTTGCAACGGCAAGTGGCAACATTGTCGTTGTTGGTGTTGTTGCTGGCATTGAAGGGCACGCTCAAGGTTGATGCTGATAGCTGGGTGAATTGCTGCGCCAGCGTAGAACATCATTTTCCATCTCTAGCCTTTTCTCGCATTGTACAGATCGATCTCCTACTGCTCGAAGAGGACTGTGGCGCAGCAGGCAGCTTCGGCGATAGCTCCTCGAGCAAGAAGCAGCGACTTGCGCTGTCGCCATTCTGGCCCTAGTCCGGAAAGGACTATAGTGACGAACATGTCACTAGGGATGTTTCTGCCACCTCTTAAACTGGTCGCGCAAATCACAGCAGCGATTTATACATGGTCCTAGTTTCTCCTCTTGAACCATTTTGGTTGATGTTAGTTGGTTGAGTAGGCGATTCATTGTAACCGGGTCTGTCGCCGTGTTTGTGTTGCGCATGTATTCCCAAGATACTTGCGCGGGGGCGCACTCCGTCTTGAAGGAGAAGATGCCAAGCTGCTCGGCGGGAAGAATGATGTATGTGGGGAGAGACTGGTGGCAGTAGAGGTTTTTCTCGTGGGGAGTGCCTTCTATTCGAAAGGTAAGACTCCCATCATAGTACATCTAGACCTACGCGGTTGTCGCGAGAAGCTCGAACTCAAAGCTCCACGTGAAGAATCATTGCCGTAGTAATGCCGATGCTCATTGCTTGATGACTTTTAAGAGCATTGATGCGTGCGATGAGCTGTTTAACGATGTTGGCGTTGACAAATGTTACTGCCGACGGCACATTTGTTGTTGCTGGTGGTGGGACTGGCGAGTCTGCAGCAGTCTTTCCTGAAAGAGCCATAGTGATGCAGACTTTGTATTAGGTGTTGTAATGGGTAATTTGAGGGTTGTTCTAGAAAGAAAATGAACTTGTCAAGCCTTATAATCCAACAGTGCTCTCATGCTATGTTGATATAACCAAGGAATCAAAGTGGATAGGATAAGTCTAGCCAAGTTGAATCAATAGGTTGAAGTCGTGCAATGACATAGTCTATTCTTAAAACTAAGTCGAAAAAAGGGAGTGCACGACAAATTATGTCAGAATAGTGATGTTCCCCCATCGATGAGGGCTCTATTTTTTTTTAGACGAAATAGAAGACTCTGTCTTATGGATCATATCAAATAAAACTGCTTGTCTAGAAAATCAGACGAAACATAATAACTAGGTACCATATTATTCTCATACCATCAGTCCAAGTATGACTTTCAGAACATCAGGCGAATTTGGTCAGATAACAAGACCCCTGGTTCCATTGTCTTTTCTGTTGAAAGCAGGAAGAATTCAATGTGCAAGCGCGGGAAAACAATCAAACAACTACCGTGGCGCGTATCGTTACCGAAGCGCACGGTTGGCCTTCCCGATCTATAAGCATAAGGGGAATGTACCCCCTCTGAGTACATGGCTAGCTAGGACCTTCGCCCCCATCAGCCGCCACACCTCCATCCGCGTTCTCCTCGCCATCGCCGCTGCGAAGCATCTCCCGCTCCGACAAATCGACTAAAAAAATGTGTTCTTATACACACCAGTCGATGCCCTCATCTTCGTCAAACAACCGCACACTTATGGCGACGGCGACCACCACGTGTGCCAGCTAAAAAAATCGCTCTACCGCACTCAACCAAAGCCTTCTTGAAAGCGGCTTTACCCAGCTGCCCCACGACCCCGGCATGTACCGCCTTCATTGCCGTGGCGATTACATACTCCTCATGGTGTACGTGGATGACCTCCTATAGACGGGCGCCAGCCACGGGGTTCTCGCCCAATTTAAGAAAAACCTTTGCGACTGCGTCGAGATTACCAGAACCGAGCACGTCACACAGTTCCTGGGCCTCAGCATCTCCTACATTGTCGATGCCATTCACATCTCCGCCGCTGAGTACGCCAAGAATCTGTCTGCAAAGTTCAACATCAAACTGGCAAATATTACCACTGGTTACTGCACCCCAGCCACCCTACACAACCCCGACACTACCCCACTTGACCCATCCGGACACCAACTGTACCAGTAGAAACTTGGTTGATTCCTCGTTGCTGCAGTCGCATGCGGGCCTGACTTGTCCTACATCTCGAGCCAGCTCGCTCAGGTTGCCAAGCGGCCTGAAGGGGTGAATATGTTAGATTTGCAGCGCGCTCTGCAGTACTTCATCTCCACACCGCACATTGGACTCACCTACTCCACTCTCACAACCCGCACATTCAGCCTCGTTGGCTATGTGGATGCTGATTACGCCGTTCGACGGTCTCGAACCGGCTTCCTTTTCTGCCTCGAGCCCACCAGACCGATCTCCTGGAATTCACAAAAGGAGGAAATATTGGCACTCTCCCCCGCTGAAATTGAGTTCATCATTGCAACGTCAGCTCTTTGAGAGGGCTTTACCTCCAGGAGCTGCTCCAAGAGGCAAAAATTGCGATATCTGCAAGCTTCAAACTACATTGCGACAACCAGAGCGTGTTCAAGGTCGCAAACGTCAACCGCACCAAGCACATTGCACTCCGCTACTTTTTGTCAAAGACGAAGTTCACAAAGGCAAAGTTATCTTGACATAATGCCCCACCGGCGACATGGCAGCTGACTGAAGTCTTAACGCGAAGATGACTACAGCGAGGACGAAGACCGAGCGACACAAGCAGTTCTCGAAGACGGTTGAAAGCAGGAAGAATTTATCGATCAAGCGAGGGAGAACATTCAAACAGTCACCGTGGCGCGCAACATTACCGAAGCGCACGGTTGGTCTTCCCAAACTAGATTAGGCCTAAGGGGAATGTACGCCATAAGATCACATGGCTAGCTATGACCTAGTGTCAAACCTCTAAAAATGTTTGTATTGTGTAGGCTGTAGTGGGGTAGCCCATAAGGGGTACAATCAATTAGGGTTAGTACTTGTACGAACTTTCTGTTCAATGCATTCATTATCGCTTAGTCTTTGACATGGTTTCAGAGCAGGTCCTATTCCAGGACCGTTCTTTTTAGGGCCCACCGTACAGTTCCCTGCCCGTAGCGCGTTACCCTGCCCGTAGCGCCCTACCCTGTCCGCCGCGCTGCCCCACCAGTCGCGCTCCCCTGCCCGCGCACCGCCCTGCTGGCAGCCGCGCTGCCCTGCTCTGCCCTGCGTTGCGTTGCCCAGCGCGCGCTCTGCCCTGCCCTGCGTCGCGCCACCCGCGCACGCCCTACCCTACCCCGCGTCGCGCCGCCTGCGCATGCCCTGCCTTGAGTCACGCCGCCTGCACGCGCCTGGCCCTGCCCCATGTCGTGCCGCCCCGTGCACGCCCTGCCCTGCGTCGCGCTGCCCGTGCACACCCTGCCCTGCCCTGCGGTGCGCTGCCCCGCGCACGCCCTGCCCTCCGCCGCGCCGCCCACGCACGCCCTACCCTGCGTCGCGTCGCCTGCACACGCCCTGCCCTGCCCACGTGCAGCCCTGCTGGCCGCGCGCTACCCTGCCCTACTCGCGCGCCGCCCTGCTGGCCGCCACGCAGCCCTGCCCTGCCAGCGCGCCGCCATGATGGCCGCCGCTCTGCCCTGCCCTGCCCATGCGCCGACCTGACTTGCCTTGCGCGCTTCCCTAGTGCACGAGCGCCGCCCTGTCCGTCGCGCCGTCCTGATGCCTGCGTGCTACCCTGCTAGTTACGCGCTACCCTACTCTGCTAGCCATGGCTACCCTCAGCGTACTCACATTCGATCCTGAGGGTCGTTTGATCCAATTTGATACATGGAGGCGGTGGTGGAGGCGGTGGTGGAGGCGGTGGTGGGGGTGGCGGTGGCGGTGGTGGCGGTGGGAGTGGAAGCTTCGGTGGCGTCGCAGCGGTGGGAGTGGTGGTGGCGGTGGTGGCAGCAGTGGGAGTGGTGGCGGTGGCAATAATGGCGGTCGGGGTGGATCCGTTCAGAGAGGCGGTTGTCGCGGTGGCTAGAGGCAGCAGCAGCAGCGTCACGCGAGACCCTTACACCCCATCAGCTTCGTGAGTGGTTTGCTCAGCGTTCCCGGGCCGTCTGGGGGTATTGTTCGCTGCCCGTACGTTATTCGCACAGGTGATTAGGCTGGTAAGACATGCGGGAAGGTTGGTCACTTGGAGTACCGCTGCTTCTCCCGCCTTGATGACGCTTGGCGTGCAGAGTTTAATGACGAGGCTGAGCTCCCCCGCTGGCGCGACCTGCTTAGGAACAATGTGGATATCTTTGTTCTTGACTATGATGCTATCCTTGCTGGCATGTATGCTTTGACTGTTAGTGCTGAGGGTGACT